TCTGCAGTGCATATGGGAGCCGATGCTGTGGCCTGTCATCCGTAGCTGCTGCTCTGCTCTGCACTGGTGGAGCTTGGCTAAGCAAGAGGAGAGCTCCCAGGCCCCAGTGAATGGACACCAAGTGTTGTGTTAGAGGGCTGACACAATGGTGGCATAAGCGGGTATCAAAACTGGAGCAGGTTCTCTAGAAAGCTGTCCCTGATGTGCTGATGGGCTTCAACATGCCTGTAGTAGTGTTGGAGCCACTGGCAACAAATCTTAACTCAAGTCCTGGAGTGAGGAGGATGTCTGAAAAGTTTTCTCGCTGCTGTTTAGGTGTTTCCTACCCCAAACCATTTTGGGACTTGCAACAGGAGTCCCCTATGCAGAAATGGTGGATGATGGTTGGGATGGCCTGGCTTGCTCCCCCTGGGGTTGGTGCTGCTGGCTCCCTGTGACGTTGGGTGGGGGAGCGGATTGTGTGGCAGAGAGAGAAACTCGAGTCGAAAGGAGCTCTCTGGACAGCAGATACAGGGTCACGGTACAGCCAGAACTGGTGGAAAGAAGGGAACAACCATGCCAGCCACCCAACAAGTGTTTGGGGGTGCCACAGAGAAGGCCGTATGGTTATTGGTGACTGCCTGGTATTTTGGAGTGGTCCCTGGGCAGCTGCAGGGTCAGCGCTGCCTGGAGGGGAGAAGCAGTGGTATTCGGCAGCGTCCCTGGTGCTGTGCAGTGGCTGCCCTGCCCGGAGAGCCACCTCCTGAGGGAGAGCAGGATCTCTCGGGATGGGTTCGCCATGCTGCTTTGGCAACGGAGATTACACTGCCACGAAAGCAGCGGGGGAGTTTCTTCAGTAATTTAACCCAACAAACAGTAAATTGGTGTGAGGGGTAAGCGAGGTGGCGTTCAAGCCCAGCCTGCAGACCTTGGCTGCAGCATCGCGCAGACAGCCTCGTGGCTCTGGAGCACCTAATCCGCGTTGGCCTGAATTTAACCTCAGGCTCCATGGTAGCTGGGCAGGCAATGGGGTACCTTGCTGCCTGTCCCTGTGATTTTAATGATTTTAAAGTATGTGTGTTAAAAGTAAGTATTATTTTCTGTATTTTTTTTTAATATCCCCGGAAGTCAGTCATGTAATTTCATACTGCCCCAGACACCTCCTGATCTCCTGCGGGCAGCGCTGGAAAGAAGACTGGGTGGATGGAATGAGCAGGAGTCTGCTCAGAACGATCCTTGAATTTCAAGGGATTTTAGAAGGGTTTGCTTCTCTGGGGGCAAACACAGCATTTCTTGTACTCGGGCTCCTTAACAGTAAATTAGGGGGTCCCTGCTGGTAATCCTGACCGGCCGCGAGGCCTGTGCAGTGGATGCGTCTGGACTGACGAAATAGCTCAGGCAGCCGCGTTGCAGCCGCAGTGGTGTAAAGATTAAGGATTCCTTAGGTTGTGTGCGTCCTGGAAAAGACCACTGCAAGGTTTCATTTTGAAAACGCTTTAATAAGGAAGTGTTGACAACACCGTTTTGCAAAATGTAAAGGTAACTATACAAATTCTTAATACAAAAAGAATAAATTAAAAGCAGATCTTTTTTTAATTCTGCAACTTTTTCTACAACATACATATTTTTTTCCTTGATTACAGTTGAACAGAATCCAGTAAAATCATTTTACATGCTCTAAAGTCAGTTTCAGGAGAGACCTAATTTTTTTTTTTCTTTTTTCCCTTTTTTTAAACTAGAGAGTCCATTTTACACAACTTGTAATAAAACTATTGACATTAATATATATGTAAAACTTTACATCTAGTTAACTAAGCAGTAACTGGTCATCTGATAGCACCTGAATGGGGATCGGCTATGCCTGAAACTAAAACTAATACAGAGTGAAAACAAATTGGACTGTTTCAACATTTTCAACACTCAACTGCATATAATATCATTTAAAAATAAACCCTGCCTCACAGCATAGCCTGCTGCGTAGAATACACACCAGACTTCTGGCTAAACAGAGGGAGCTTCAGACATGTAGACTAAGAATGCGATTGTGGCTTTATGTCAGATGGAGCCTTGAAAAATAAAAAAAAGTAAAGGAGGGGCTAAAGTTGGTAGTCAAGTGCTTGTATATAATAGCTATGTATATACCCCTCCATGTTATACTTAAATATGTTAATCTCATATGATTAACATTTTATGTACATTTGTGTTTAATTGAATTGAGCTAAACAGTAAAACCTGTTTTACTTAATCTGTCTTTACTACCAGACTGGCTGCTCACGTGTGCCTTGATTGCAAAACAGAAAAGCAGAACACAAAGCAAAACTCAATCCATTTCTAGAAAGCTTTTTCTCTACTCAAGCCTGTTTGCAATTCATTTGGCTTTTTTTTTTTTTTTTTCTCCTAATTTCAGGGCTGCCACCTTTTAACTTTTGCTGCAAAACTGCAGATCCGGTCTTGGAGAAATTAATGTTTCTTTCTTCCCGTAGTGCCCAGAGGCCTCATTGTGCCGCTGTTGTTGAATTCTTTTTAATTAAAAGAAGGTACACAGAAGGAAAGGAAAAAAAAAAACACACATTTACCAGGCAAATTAAAAAGAAAACAGACAGTTGCTCAGAGCCCCTACAAATCTGTGGGCTACATTACTTGCTGCTGCTTAATTTGGTCCTTATTTAATCCTTTCAGTTTAGCTTCAGAATCTTACCAGCACGTGTCAGTAACCTGTACTATCTCCTATCCAGCTGAAGGTCCAATTAGGAGCTTGCAATAATTCCCACATTAAAGACCGCAAAGCACAGCGAGATGTTTAGAACAGCGTTTTGCGCTTTCAGATAAAGCGTGCAATCTCGCCGCTGCCGGCTCCTCTAGCGACTGGTGACGCAGATTCGACCACTGTCAAATGGCTTGCGCTTCTCTTAGTGACTCTTCTTGGAGGGCCGCGAACACCAGGCTTAGGGTGGACGTTAAAGAAAGAGCTCCCTTCCTGCTGCCGTCGCCTTCACGCGCGGCCGCGGGCAGGCACCTCGGCCTTGGTGCCCGCAGCTGTCCCCAGCTCTGCGAGGCCGCCGTCGGCGCCTTGCAAGCGACGCGAGGCTGCAGCGCAGCAGCTGAGCGCCGCCAACTCAAGCAAACGTTTCTAACGTATGTATGTCGGAGAAAGGCGGCAGCAGCTTGCGTTAATTTTTAGAAACGCCGTCGTCTCTCCAAGTCTAATTACGAAGAACCCGTTCCCTTTCAAAGCTTGGAACGCAGTTTTCCAGCAATCTCGATACAAAAAGGTGTGGCAGCCCCCAACTCGTGGTGGTTAATGTGAAACGTTTCGCCCTACTTTGTCTGGTAGACGCTCTTGTTATTCTTGGAACGCACGCACGCACGCTCGCACTTTTTCCTTTAAGCATCAGCTAACTTCAGTGTCTGCTTTTCACAAAGTAACCCCCTCCAGCCGTTTCTTTAATGCCTTTCCCATAGGAAATCGTCGTTTGCACGCACAAATGGGGGAAGGCCCGGTACCTCCCCCCATCTCGTGGCAATAAAAAGAGCATAGCACCGCAATGAAGACTAGACGTGCCAGCTTCGACATCCACCTAGATTGTGCACTTGTTCAATACAAAAGTGTCTTTGAGGCCTTTAAAGTTCCATGGCTTGACGTGTATAAAGCATTGCTCAGAAGTATGTGTAAACTTGCAGCTTCTTCCATGACTCTCTGCTGTGACTCCTTTTGGTATCAGTCGATGACTCCAGCTTGTGTCGAACACCTAATTTGTTTGCTTCTCTTTCTTGTGGTCGCTTCTTTCGATGTGAAAATTTGCCTAGTTTGCTGGTTATTAAACCCCACTGCTGATCCCTTCCCGTTTCCTGACAGACCGGTTCTCCCACACAGCAGTACGCCGCTGATGAGCCCTTTGCTACACTGGTGCTAACGAAGGTAAGGTAATTCGAACAGATATGTTAATGCAGCTTTACCGCGTCAATTAGATTGTGATGTGCTTTCCTTTTGATTTCACCTTAACGCTTTGTGCGGAAGTAGATTAGAATTTATTGGCTGTATTTATCTGTAGAAAGATTTTTGGCAATGTTTTTTATCTTCAGCTGAGTATTGAAAAAACAAAACAAAACAAAACACCCCAACCTCTCTGTGTGTTGGTATGTAATCTGTGCCAGCCACAGAGATGTTATGAGTAGCAGTATTTGCCTCTGCTTTAGGTAATGCCTTTGTAAACCTTGTCTGTCCAGTTTCTAGTAGATTGTAGACACCAGCGCTCCGATACCAGCCCAGACCTCCAGTGTGTCTTCAGCGCATTGGGTTATATTTCACTTATTTTAGATGGGCTCAAAGCAAAGAAGGAGATGCCATTTTCTGACACAGAAGGTGGTTGTGTCTGTCACTGGGTTCAATTAGAGAGGTGTTCTTGTTGGCGTAACTTGCTGAACACGCTCGGTGCTTGTTTGGTGATCTTTGGCAGTGCAGATCGGATTGTGAGATTGTGATACGTCTTTGAAGATCTTTACTGTTTCATAAAAGAAGCACTTCCAGGACTATGATATCTATTTCCCAGCATCTGTCCCGTTCCCCCACCCCCGCCCTCACCCCTTTAAACTAATGCTCTGTTGGCTTCAGATTGCAGGTCATGGAAATACTACTGTTACATGCCACAGAAGAATGAAATTTGATGGCAGCCTTGAAAGGCTTCCGTTATTTAGAAAAAAAACAAACAATTTTTAAATTGCCAGCTCACTACTAAGGTCAAGGTCGTTGTTCGTCTGCATCCGCCGCCCTGCAGGCTTGGGGAGGGATGTGTAGCAGTCTGTGGCAACTGGGTATGCTGCTATCCATCGCTGTTGTGGTGAATGCCTCAGGGCCAGCGTTCTGCAACGTTGTCTTGAATCGCGTCGTGAGAAAAGTGCTCGAGTTGAAGCTGGTGCTGGGTGACAGTGCATCTGGGTAAGGCAAATGAGAGGCAGTGAGGTGATCTCAGAATGGCATTGATGTGACTCGATTGAGGTCAGGGGTTCACACTAGAGTCCCAGGCTTGGCTTTTTCCTGTCCATACCACTGGACATCTGCTAATTCTGGATAGAGGGGAGAATCCAAGAAACAGCTATCATTGTAGCTCCTGCAGGAGAAAGGAAACTTTGTTAGGACAATGAGGACTCCTGGAAAGTTCAAGCACACGCATAAAACATCGCATTATGGGTGTGGAGGAACGTAGTATATTTACAAACCCCACTGGATTCTGCAGGTACCCCAGAGCTGCTGTTTGGGAGTGGGCTCAGCATGCACAGCCCTCCCTTGACCGAGTTTGTTTTGGCCACCATAAAGGCACAAACTGAAGGCCGTGTCTCCCTGAAGGGAAGGTCACGTCGCAGTGTGGTGGCAGGGGAGGTGCGCCGTGCGGACGAAGTACTGCTGCCGCACTGTGCTGGAGCACAGTGTGTTTGCGCACCCCTTACACGTGGGTCCGTTGGTGTTTGCGCGTGTGGCCGCAGCGCTGCCTGCGTGGGGACCTCGAGGCAGAACTGGCTGCCCCAGCGCGTGTAGAGCCTTGAAACCCCTCATTGTCTGCCCTTAGCATGCTGCTCTGGGCAGAGGCTTGTGCGTCACTTGGCGATCCCACGGTGACGTGGGTTTTGCAAGGTGAGCTAGGAAGAACAGCAAACCCAAGTGACTAATGACAGGGTGCTGGGTGCACTGTGGAAAGGACAGCATTTTGTCGTAGGTGGCCTAGTACTTCTCTTGGGGCGCCTCTCTTTACAAGCAGCAGTTTCTTTTGCTGCGTGGCTTTTTGTTCGCTTGCATAGAGCGGACGGGACTCTACGGTTTATGGGAATTCTCTCTGCTATTTATCTTAGAGCTCAGATCAGGGTCAGCTCCTGGCTTAGTCTGTTGAACTCCTTGCCAGGGGAAAACACTGATGTCAAAATCTTGTCAAAACTGTTATAAATGACTGCTATATTAGCACAGTAATATTCAGAATTGATGATTCTCTCTTGAGCTTTCATTTGAACCAACTCCTAAGTTAGAGATAGTACTGGGACCAAATTGGGGAGACGTCTTCTCCCCGCTTACTGGGGGGGTTCTCGCTTCTTCCTTGGCTCCCTCCCCACCTCGCAGGACTGATCCCAGATCTGATGCAGTCGGGCAGTTCCTGCATTCTCTATTGCGTTTCCCACCTGGTTTGCCTGGGACCCAGGCACAGAAGTGCTTGCCTGCGAGCAACCTGAGCGAGGAGGTTACTCGGCTGCCTTTTAAAGAGCTTTTTCTTTCCCAGCTCTGTGCTAGAGTATGGAGGTTTAAGGGTTATCTCTCTAAAGCTAGGCTTGAAATACTCGACAGATTCCAGCTGTGAATGGTTGTAGATTCAAATGAGAGTGTCAGACAACGACTGCAGTTTAATTAAAATAGAAATACTCTGAGGGTTTTTCCATTCCCGTCACCCTGCCCCCTCAGTCTTCCCACAGAAACTAGGCCAGGGTTGTTCCTTGCTCCCTGAAACCTCCTCCCTACTAGTATCTTTCACCTTCACGGCTCTGCTCCGAGGCAAAGGAGCGCTCGGTGCCATGGCTGGAGTGCTGTGCTGGCAGCTCAGTCCAGGTCCCCTCTGGCCTCCATATGCCAGGCCTTGTCTCCCCGGCTTGCTGCTCCCAGAGCCTCCCCGCGGTACTTTGCCACACTGCTTTGAAACGTCTCTAGCCATGAAATTGTCGCTATTGCCTGCTCTCTGTGCCTGCTCAAGCTCTGTCTGAACACTTGCACTGCCAACCAGGCTGGCCCGAAGCCCTCTTTTGCAGAGAAAGAAGTTCTCTTTCACAGAAGAAAATGCAAGAGTCACAAGCTTGCTGAAAAGGCACAGACAAGGCTTAGAGATGCTTTCAAGTTGTTTTTTCAAGAACTGAAGGAAGCCTTGTTGCCAAATAAACAGCCACACAATTAAAACGCCTGCTCCTTTGGGACAGTGGGATGCCAGTTATTTGCATTGTATTCATGGAGCACAGACTATAGGGCAGAAGGATGAAAGAACAAAACATTCCCTTACTATACCTCTATTCATCAGTACTTTGGTGGGTTGGAGACTGAGACTCATCCATAGTGGGTGAGTTGTCTGTTGCTTCTCTGAACAAAGGAGAGCAAAAAAGGAGGAAAGAAGAGAGAGGAAATGTTAAAGAAAAGAAGTGACACAGACATTGTTACGAGCTTATTAATCCAGTGGGGAAACAAGTCGATGAATCATCTTAAGAAAAAGAGTTAGTGACACAAAAACACGTCTGGGAGAACTGCAATTCTTTTGATTGACGCTGGGAAGTAACAGCTTGTTCTTGCAGTGGGGGAGTTTGTGTCGTGCATCTGATGGCAAGCGGTACCTGCTCCTTATTTGTTTAACATGCACTCTGGGTCTTCTGCTCAGGTGTGAAAACAAGTACTGATCTGTCACTGATTCTTTCTGCACTGGTTGTTGGTGCAAATCCTAAGCTCTACATCTAGGTAACTTCACTTTCACCAGCTGAGAATGTGGGTTGAGGTTTTTGCTATGAGAGACAGGGAGCAGCAGTTTTCTTGAACGGAAATAAGAGGAGTCAGAGTTTCCCAAACAAATTTCTCAGCTGGCTGCTAACCAGTATTAGTTCTGCTCATCATGGAGATATTCACAGGATTAGGATTGGAACGGAGACTAGTGTCCAGATTCAAGCCCTTAACAGGGAAAATTTCTGTGATCTTAAGATAGCTGTAATTTTGCCAGTCTTGCAATATCTTGACTTCTTGTGAAATGGGGCTAGGAAGATGATCCTGCTCTAAAGCTGGAAGCAGATCATATGAAGCTGGATGTCAAATGTGCGAATTTAAAATTAAAATAAGGTATAATGGATTTGTGATTATGGTTCTCCTCATCTCCATTTGAAAGTGCAGTTACAGGTGACGCTGGAATAAAACCAGAGGTCAAACTTGGTCACAGGTGACCGGAAGAAATTAAAGGGCGTGGGACTTTCCAGTGGCGGCACAGCAAAATACCTGCCGAGTTAACTCTCCTGGTCCCAATTCACAACTTAGAAAACTGTATCTGGTTTTCTACCGTAGGGCCTAGGATATTTTGAGGACTGTGGTCTGAAACTTTCTAGTTGGTGTCACCAAGCTCAACTTAGAGGCAAAAATTTGGGATACGCTGTGTTAGATGGGATCTCAAAATGATACTTATTTCATGTGATAGGATAAAATTACAGGACATTCCTTGAGAATACCCACAGGAGCTTGCAAAAGGCTTTCTGTTTACTCCTTAAACTCCCTGCCTCAATTTAACCTCACAAAGAAGTTAAAGAACCCAATTGCTACATTTACATGAGTAATGGCTACCTGCGTATAATGACTCACTCGTGCTTTGAAGTGCATTAAGCAGCTAAAAAAAAGATGCACTTAATAGTTATTAAGTTACACTGCTAGGGGAAACCTAGCAGAAAAATGTGGTTGTTGCACATAAAATATGGAAGTTTCTAACCTTGCCTTCACAAGGTCCTTGATCTAGACAGCCAGCATGATATTTGCTGGCAAAGATCAACCGTTTCAGCGTATGGAAAACTGGAGGAAAGAGGCTGTGTCCAAGCAGGGAGAACCTTCAAGACTTCTTTCACCCTTGTCCAGCACTGATGACAGCGGTGCTTCTGGGCACAATTGGCACTGTCGTATATCTGTCAGCCCGAACTAAACCTCCCCAGCTCCAACAGCGTAGGTGGGAGGCTGAAAAGCTCTGTGCAGACGTAGGCTATTGAGCATCTTGAGCAACATGTTTCCCCTATCTGTGCTCTCCCTTTGCTTGTGTTCTGGGAGATTTCTCCCAAGGACTGCAACCTTTCAGATCCCTGCACGGAGCTGGGTGAATCCTCTAACCAGATCCCACAGCAACTCACCCAGTCTGCCAAGCAAGAAGGTGGTGGGGGCTGCCTGGCGGCGTGGCTGCTAGTTCACTCGATGGTGTTGAACTCCTCTGGCTGTGAGGTAAGGCAGCTGAAAAAAATAACAAAAGGTGGAGAAAAATAACCGGTCAGATGAGGGCATAAAGGTGAGGGTGGTTCAGAAGCATCAGCTGATCAGACCAGCAGAAACATGTCCAGTTGTGAGTAAACACAACCTGAGAGGCAGAACTCATCCAGTTCCCGAATGGCTCTGCCCAAATGTTGGCATGGCAGCAGCAAGCCTAGTACTGATGCTGCTGCATGTCACGGGCTAGATCTTTCTTCAGAGCCACAGGAATGTTTTGTTTCAGCCCAGCCTTCAGCTGAATACAACAGCTGGACTGTACCAAGCCCTGAATGAGAAACACCGCACCTCTCCCAGCGTGAAGGCTAACGAGTGTGTCTTGCTGCTGCTGCCACTGCAGTCCACACTGGTGGGGCCTGGCTGTGCATTCTCCATGGGATCTCAAGTGGAGCAGCCCAGCCCAACAGGCTCAGCAGTGGTAGGGGATCTCAGCGAGTGTCTGGACAGATACACTACTTCACGCACAAAGAAAGAAAACAGCTCTGAAGATTTCAAAGGCTGAAACTGCTTCTTACCATGCATTTGAAATAAAAAAGTTTGGCTTTAGCGAGCCTACTACTGTGGGACTGAAGAAGGCTCATCTTACTTTAATGAAGCTAGAAACAAGCGGGACTAAAAATGTAAGATCGGCAGCAGTCCTCAGGAGAGTTTCCCCCGTGAGGGCCTAGCAAAGAAATCCCCTTGGCCTTTCTTTCCTTCTCCTTGAATCCACACAATGTTGACTCTCCCAGTTTAATGTACGCCCAGGAGTACAGTCCTCTTCGAAGCACCGCACAAAGTCCAATAGACATATCAGCTAGGGGGTATCAGCTAAATGATAGATGTTTCTACCCGCCATCCTCTTCTGCGCCATTAAATTCTTTAGCTGCTGCCAAATGACACTTGGAGAGAAAAACAAATTTTAATTTGTTCCTGGTTGCTGACAGCCCTCGAGGTCAGTATTGTCCCATAGTTGCAACTGGGAGCTGACTCTCTGAATGCAAAACTAATCTATACTACCAACTGGTCACGACAAGCTGTGATTACTGAGCGTACTTACCATGGCACTGCCCAGAGATCACATTTAGATTTAAAGTCCCAGCTGGGTGTGGGAACAGACTGATTGACAATAGTTTTAGTTTACCCTCCTGCCCCACTACTGTTTTCCTTTCTGGATTTCCTATGTAAACTGAGACTGTTTTCAAAGCTAAGCAAGACAAAGGATTTTTTTTTTTTTTAAATGTTCAGGTGTTTTCTGTTGCTAGCTGAAACAGAAATGCCAATTAATCAAAGAGCAGGAAGACAGTTTTTCATTTAAGAGACACAGGATGGTTCCAGGAGTCATTAGATTGTGTCCCGGGCCACATCTAGGCCTCCTGAATACCTTGCCACTACACGTATATCATCCTTTTATCAGGCAGTTAATGGCATGTGCGGATTCTGCTGTTAAACTGCCTCTCTGACTCCACACTAGAGTTGGTGGCAAGTACAAAAACCCACCCGGTGTCAGCGTGGCGGTCACTGTGAAATGAATGTGACGTTTAGATGTCAGAAAACCAAATACCAGCACATGTAAATGATGTGCTGGATGGCTCAAGAAGGCTGCTAGCGCCTGCATCCATGTTGTCTCCTGGTGAGTCCATGGTGTGTCCTGTGTCAAGGCTGAGGCATGTGCAAGGGAGGAGACAGGTACTGCATAACTTCTGATTAACCTTCTCTCCTAGACGTGCTGGGCTGAAGTCAAGTTTTTTAGCAAATCCTTGATCTATACAAACTGGCTTGTCAATGGTGAGTGATGGCCAGCAAATATTTAACCTCAGACTGTTTTATAACACTTAGCGGTCTCTTGAGTGTAATGAATTTGACTGTTTTCTCACTGTTTAATATTAACAAGTACTGCAAACTCTGTACATGACAGACGGCCTACTATTGCACAAACTTGAGCACTGTGAAGTTCAGCGTGTGACCAGCACAGCTATTGGAGCTGCATGGGAAAGCCAAGTATCAGTAGTGCACAAAGATGTCATCATTCAACCATTTTTGCAGGGGGTGGAGGGGCTGGAATGTCCCTTGTTTAACTCTTAACCTTTCTTATGCCTTTAGTGTTTTACTGAGGACGTACAGTTCTCCTAGGCTGTGTACATCTGTAGCTTCATCACTCTCCTCGCTGTGATTATTAAGTTTCTCTGCGTTCAGTCCCTAGTGGCATCATCCAAAGGCATACTGCAGTCTGAGGAAAGCTCTGACGACAACGGGGCTTTGGGTCCCTCCCTGTCTTTTGAACTAATCATTCCAAAGTAATGACTTGTATGGAAAAAAAATTCTCCCTCGATGAAGGCTCACCCCCAGCATTAAGCCAACAGGCTGCAGCGAGCAGTATATGAAGGCCAGATAATGTTTTATAGTCTCGCATCGCTCTTAAGCCACAGTGTAATGCCTGACATGAAACCAGGCTGTGTGAAGCCCCCGGCCCTCCCATCCCTTTGCCTGGGACCGGCTCTCACCTGATGTTGCTTTACACATCTGAGGCATTCTCGTGACCCTGCTGTGCGCCACAAAGGTGCTTTGCGAAGATGTGCTGTACTGGGAGCTGCTGTCCGAGGAAGTGGAGCTTGTGTGCGAGAGGCGGCTGTGTTCTTTGTGGGAGGCCGTGGACCGCTGGTACCACAGCCGGAGCTCGTCCGACACGGCAGTCCTACCCGAACCTTTCTCGTGGCCCTCCCTGCCCAGAGATGGAGTCCTTATGATTTGGGAGCGGGAGGGGGTCAGCCTGACGGAGTCCACTTCATCCCCGTGCCAATTCTCCTTAAACATCCCCCCCGCTGTGTAGGAGTTGGAGGTTTTAAATTGTGCTTTCACGCTGTAGTGTCCCTCCTGGTCGTTCTCCAGGCTCCGCACCACCACGGGTGTGGAGCTGCCCTCGATGTACAGGGGATACTCTTTGATCCTGTACTGGGAGGAAGGCTGGCTCTGACTGTGCAGATAGACTCGGTGGTGCCCCGTCCCGTTCCTTGCAGCCAGGTTGGGCATGCTCCCTGAATTGGAAGAGACCAGGTTGCCTGCTGATTTGTGCCTTTGCCTCTGCCGCTCTCTGGCTTTTGAGGGGGAGTCCTCGGCCAGGGTGGAGTAGTTGGGGTTCATCTGAGCGGGGTAGTAGTGTTCAGAGCTGGAATGGCTGGTGCAGGAAGAGCAGTCATCCATGGGGTCAGAGCCGTTACTGCTACGAGTCCTTGGGGTGTAGAAATCGGGGCTCCCTGTCTCATTTTCTGACCCGAGGAGCTTGCCTTGAGACTCCAAACTGGAGCTCCGGTGTCTAAAGTGCTGAGCTAAGCTGTGCAGTCTGGTCGGGCTGATGTCTACTGACCTGCAGGTACCAGAAAAAACATTCAGGCTGATAAGCCAACAGGATGAAACGCTTCCCCCCCTTCCCTTGTGCACACAAGGCCAGAGTTGGTGGCAAGCGAATCTGAGGGCGCTGAAAACTTGAACCCTTCCAGCACTGTGTGGGGCCACAGGCTGCAAAGCAACCTGCTACCCTGCCGTGAGGTTTGGGGTGATTAGGTCCCGCTCCTGCTCCTCTCCAGTCTCTTTGGAAGTGGCATTCTTTCTGCAGCACTACAAGGGATACAAACTCCTCCCTGATACACATACTCTGTTACCTGCCACCCCAGGAAAGACCCATTCTCAAGGGCAAAACCTGGGGATCTCGAGCCCTTGGCTTTGCCGGTGCAGCCCCGCCGCAGAGCTGTTTAGCTCAGCACTGTTTTGTGCTACCAGGTTCACCTTGCTCCAAGTCTGTAACTCCCCCAAACCTTAGCTTCAGAGAGGTGGGATTCCCTTGTATGTGGTCTGTGACTGCCCTGCACAGGTACAATTCACCTGGTGTCTTCCTTGCATTAGTGAGAGAGAGAGAGAGAGAGAGAGAGAGAGAGAGAGAGACCACCCTCAGCCCAAAATGCAGTGGTTTCTCCACTAGCCTTTGAAAATTCACCTCTGTGAAGTAGCTGCATTTTACTGCAGACAGGCCACGGGTAATGCGCGTAAGACCGTCAGCGGGTGACGCAGTCCTTCCGGCAACTACCCTGATTTGCAAGTTTACAAGGCTTGATTCATGGCCAAGTCTGGGTGGTCTCTATTCATCTGGGCTGTTTGGAGAGTTTCAGCCATCCATTCGAGGAGCAGGAACACCGCCCGGTGATGACTCACACAGCCCAAATGACAGACGGCCAAGGCCAGAGCACACAGCTCATGAATGAGCCACAGATTGAGCGATGTTTCAAGCACCCAAACGGCCCATATTCAGTCAAGGGCACTTCTCGTTTCTCATGCAGCTCAGCTCTAGCGTTAACAAACATTGCACTCTTGAAAGCCACCTTCATCCAAAAACTTGTAACAAACTTAACCCAGGGCCTTAATGCCTTGTAGCATTTCTGCCCAAGTCTGATGCGTTGGCATTACTCTTGATTTCTGTCAAGCTAAATGATGTTAAGGCAGGATTCTCAGCGCAGGATTCCTAAAAGCACACAGCTATAGCTCAGCTCTGTTTCCCTCAGAATCCCTGGGAATTTGCCATGAGAGCAAAACAACACTGATGCGGAACAGTTGTAGAAATCCTGCTGAAAATCTGAGTCAAATTTGGCCATGCACATCAAATCTCCTCCCTTAAACTAACACTTCAGCTTATTCCACCATCAACTCCCGGCCAACGGGATCCCTGGGTGGGTTGCTTAGAACAGACAGGCTCTCTCTCCTCATAAGCATAGACATGTGCACACACTTTATCTGTCACCATGAGAGAGAATTAACACTACTCAAGCTTTCACAACAGAAAGGAAATAACATGTTATCTCCGGCTGGATCAGTGGAGGAATTTACTGTAGAAATTAGCAGTAGTACCACACCCCTTTTAAAAGTGGCTTGGGGTTTGTAATGCCTCAAACCAGTCACCAGGATGAAAGGTCCCAGCAGAATAGAGAGAGCCTTGATTGCTTGGAGAGGGTGATGAGGGGCAGGATCACATTCACCAGAAGCAATTTCAGATCTAAGTTCAGGAGAGATTGCGTCCTGGTGGCAGTACTTGAGCCCCTGACATGAATAGGACTGGTTCATGTACTTCCCTGAATTGGAAATTAATAAATATATCGGGGAAGGACAAAAATAAGTAATAACTATTTTAGGGTCAGCAAGCTGAGGCTGTTGTAGGGCCAGGAGGACTTACCGTGTGGAGTGGACGTAGTGCGGACTGCGTACCCGTAGATCTGGCGTTGACGGCATGCTGGACTGGGAGTTCCAGTGGGGAAGGCTCCGGATGGGGCTGTTCTGCAGGGAGCTGCTCCCTCCCGCCTCGGCACAGCTCCCAGTGCTGGGGAACCGCTTGTGACTGCTGCAAAGCAAACATTGTGCCTCAGTTCCCAGGCAGGAATTTGAATGAGGGACTCCCCCAACTCACTCCAGCTCTCCGGAAAGTGCCTGTGATCTTGCAGGGGTGAGCGGGAGCCATGTCAGCCACTACTCTGTGTTGTGTCCCAGGGCTTTAGCTTCTGCAGCAGCTGAAGATCAAGGCCGAGCCTGGTTAAAGCCCTAAGAGGATCCGCCGTCCTTCCTTTCTAACAGTCTTTTAAAATAATAGTGAAGCACCAAGCAGCATTTGTGTGATTGCAATCTACTTTTTATGATATAATTATGGGCCAAAACACCCAAGTGTACCCTTCTGGTAAGGGACAGTTTTGTAATGCGTTTTGGAAAGAGCCTGACTCAGTTAGAGGCTGTTTCAGGCACAGAAACCTGGGCATTTCCAGCAACACCAGCACCTCCTAAAAGGAGGCTCACAGCCTTCCCTCATAAAAGCAGAGGATGTTTATGTGGTGGGGCATTCAAAATGGCTGGCTCACCTGGAATGACTGTGTGAGGAGCGTTTCTTGACCTTCTCGTAGGGTTCATCCAGGGATGACTCGCTCCACATCTTGGGTTTGATGGGCGACTTGTCATAGTCGTTGCGGTGGTAATGCATTTGTCGGAGGCCTTCTAGTGACTGTGGAGGAGGAGGCCTGTTGTGCAACGGTGGCCGGGGAGGGAGTCCTTTGTGTGGGGACTGGAGAGGGGATATTGTGCTGGTGACCTGAGAATCGTCTGTGAAGAGAAAGAGGGAGAGAGGTGATGGCTTTGTGACACCGCCAATGCCAGCATTGCCTGGGGGGACAGCATCACACCTTGAGAGCCTTATCAGCACGCTTCCACTGGTTGCATTCAGGAGCCACCTGAAGGCCTGACTTTCAGAAGTGCACCAGATGATATTCCCATTTTGGAAGGGAATGGCCAGCAAGAGTGTGTGACCTTGTAGGAAAATAACTGAAATCTTAGGAGAAAAGAAAGGAAGATTCTGGGACTCTCTCTTAAAAGAATTCAGAGCAGTGATTGTGGCAATACTCACAGCTCCAGGCTGACTACAAGTTGGAATCAGGAGGAACTTCTCTCAGGCCAGAGCCTTTTTGGTACTGGGAAGTTTGGGTGGATTATTAACAGAACAGTTCCTCCGTATTGATTGTCAGTCGATAATTCACGCACCCCACTCTATTTTGTTACTGCATTCTAGAATATGCAGCAGCCAACGTACCATCCTCGAGAACAAGGGCATCCGAGAGGGAGCTGTCTTCACTGGCAATGTTTCCTTCTGAGGGGAAGAAAATAAAGACGGTCAGAGGGCCAGAAGCATCACAGTGACTGAATGCTGAATTGCATTCATTGCATATTCTTCCACTGAGTCTTAGCCTTAAGCAATCACCCACGTCGTCTTCTACACATAGCCAAGAGGCAACAAGATTCCTATAAATAACTGACTCAGCCCACTCTCAGTCTTGGAGGGCAGAGCTGGGGAAATCTGCAGGCCAGGTCTTCTGCTCACAGACTGCCTTTCAGGGAGCTGCTAACTCTTTTCAATTAATGGGGACTAAGGCTGAGTCATAATGGAGAGCTGAGATCTCCGGAGGACGTACAATGGCACAGCGCCATAAGTCAGATTTGTATTCGCTGTGGCCAGGCCTTAAGGACTTTGGGTTTGACCTTTGCCTTTCTAAAATGATCATCCTGTTGCTGAAGGCCCACACTGCATTCCAGTTTTGTGTAATTCAGGGAAACGCTTTCTGAGCATTCTCTGTGGCATTCCCAGGTCCTTGCCATGAATGCAATGGAGCTGCCTTCCCTATCCCACGCCCTTCAGGGCCACCTGCTATCCCTGGCTGCAGGCAGCTTGGTACCCAAGTCACAAATACAGTAGCTATAATCTAAGTTCCTGCTATAAAGGTACAGAGAAATGCTCTGCAAGTCAAAGAGAAACGATGAAATCAGCAAAGGAGAAAGAACCAAAGAAAGTTAATGGATTTCATGAAAAAACAATCAACAACCCAGTAAACCATACAGTGCCCTGAGAATTACATTGAAAAAAAAGAAAAAGAAAAAGAAAAAAAGCATTTGAACACAGCATTGACACTGTACCACTTTGATTTTACAGATGCCTTTCAGCTAGAGAGCTCACCCCAATCTGCTAACATTAATTACATTTGCACAGCACTACTCTGGAGGAGACATTAACAGAGTGATTTTATAGGTGAACAAAGGAACCATAGTGTAGTTTCCTGACAGGCTTATAATCTACAGCACGACACTGCCTCTTGTGCTGTGAACCGGCACATCCCTAATGCACCGCGCACAGCTCACTCCAGCTTCTGTAGACACCAATCTGACAGCACGCTAGTATGGCAGAGGACAGCTCGACTGCCAGCACCCCTGGAGTCCTCCAGATGTGAGAGGGAAGAAAAGGAGGGGAAATCCATGCCCCAAACCATGAGTTCAAGGCAAGAGGTTTGCTCTGCTCCCTGTCCTCCATGGATCCTTCGGTGATGCCTCAGGCACTGAGCCCCACTTACCATCTATGATCAGGGAGGCTCTCTGGGTGGGCTTCTTTCCAGATTTGATGCGATACTCATTGATGGCATTTTCGATCTCCTGCAGTTTCTTCAGGGCATTCAAGTAGGACGTCTTCCTCTGTTTCTTCAGCTTTTTGCTGACATTGGGGTCGCTCGCCAGGCGTCGGGCAGCCTCTGTGATCTGGGACTGAATGGCAAACTCCCTCTCCAGGCGCTCCAGCTCTGCCTCCTTGGAAAAGGGAAATGGGTTCTGGTTGCCATCAAACTCCCCTTGCCCAGCCATGGGGGAGCTCCCTGAGAGCCTAGCCACTCAAGACTCTCCATTAGAAAAAAAACATCCAACAGCATGTTGCTCTCCTAATCTCAGGGCCTACCTGTGCATACCTTTCCCACCTCCACCCGCTCACATGAACGGCTGGGAGCACGACTTGTGGGAGGGATGACACATACAGGAAGGATGTCTGTGCTCCAGCCCTAACTCCGCCGTGCTAGCTGGCTTTACATGCAGTTCAGCATGGCCCAGTTCAGTGACGCTCTACTGTTGACGTATTCAGCCTTTTACACCTGCCTTTTAGGCAGCTTTAACTTTCTTGACAGGTTTGTTTGGCACTCACCGATCTCTTTGGGAAAAAAAGGGAGAAGATGGCTAATTCCTCCCTGGCGTATGGCCGTCACAGCCCAGGGGCAAGTAAGAGCTGGTATAATTATGGGCTGCCATAGCATATTGCACCAGAAAATTGTCTCCTCGAGTTAGAAGCCATTAGGGTGATCTCAGAACAAGCACAGCATGTAACAGAAGGCTTTCTGTACACTGGACGGCTCCAGCACTAGCCCTTGCAGGGTCTCAGCAGAGTTTTTAAGTGCAACCAGGTGTATCCTAGAAGCTACCTACGGATTTTTAGTTATGCTTCAAAGTCAAGGGATCTAGGCAGATTTATGCCGGCACAGAGGCAGATACAGTGTTTCCTGGCCTACACAGGGACCCCCAAGCTGTGATCTTCAAAGATATTTGTGGTTTGTAATGTATTTGGCTACCTTTGCCAACTCAGTGGAGTTTTTGGTGTTGGTCTGCTAGAAAGGGGAATATAATACATTGTAAATTAGGGAAAAAAGCCAAAATCTTTTACTTCTAATGAACTGTTTGTGTTCAGATCACAAGGGCTGACATATTCATGGAGATCCTCCTGTTACACAAATTCAAATCCTTCCTCTTCACTTGGAAGCAGCATATGCTGCGAGAGCTGATGCTGTGGGAATTTTAATCAGACTGAAATGGTTCTCTGAAGTTTTCATTCCGGGCTTCTGGCTTAGAAAAATCCTTCTGCTGTCAGTGGTGAGTCAGCATTGCCTTAAAACCGTAATTATCATTTCCCTCACTTTACTGTAAACTAGACCCTTCCCCCGACCTTTTTAACAGGCCCCTTTTTGCTTTGAAGAATTTATAAGCTCTATCAACATCAAACTTATTAAAAGTGAATTTGACAAAAGAGAGTTTTAAGGCTGGGAATCTGGTTTGCTGTGTTCTGGCAAAATCCTTCCCGGAGTCAGCAGTGGGGATTATGGACCAGGTAGGGGCGATTACTGAGAAATACAATAGGATCTTGCCCTGCAATTCATGCTCTGACAAAGCTCTTACTGAACTTACTGAGAGTTTGGTATGAGCTGTAATTTCAGGCCTTCACAGATTCAGTCCTAAACCATCCAGGATACCTTAGAAAAAACATCTTCATTCTCCTCTCGGCCATTATTGTCTATTTTCTTTCAGTGAGGCCCCAATAAATAAAGCCTCAGAAGATGAGGGCTATCATCTGCGTTCAGATGGGAGTGCCTTGCTTCTGGTCCCCATCACAGTTAGGCTTGGAATTATGTGATTATGGGAGAATTTTATCTTTTGTTTTAAATTGAATTGCTAATATTCAGACTTGCTGAAAAGTGCATGAAAATCGTCACTGGCCTCTAAATGCTCTAAAACAGGCAGCCAAACAAACACAGACCAACTTTATTCTTCAAAAAGAGAAATTTAAGATTTTCGAGGCAATCTTAAAGTTTGACAGATGAAAAAGGGGGAGAAAACTGAGCCAGCATGTTTGAAATGCTGTTGCCAAAATGCAAAGTGCCCGCAACAGGGAGGAGCGGCTTTACCTTCATGCTCTCCTGCCTGCCCACCTAACCATGCTGCTGGAATAAGGACGCTCCTCACCCAGTGGCCCCAAAACCTGCCTCTTAGCAGTAAGACCTCGAGAAGCTGGAGATCAGGCTATAAAACAGGGCAGCCAACAGACTGCAGGGCTTCTACGAGTAACCTAGCTTTAGCAGTGCTTTTCTATGAAAAGCTTAATTAAATGTGCTAATTCATGAATGTTTGACTTCAGTGGAATTCCTCTCCCAGGCTCCATTGAGAACAAAACCAAAGAGCTCCAGCTGTTTATTTTTTCAGCAGAAGGAAAATGCCGACAAAACGACAAACAGTTAATTCCCTGGCTGAACTGAGCCTTAAACCGCACAGTCACACCAGATCCAGTCTCTCCTCTTACAAAAATAAAAAGGAAACTCAAAACTGGAATATACACAAGTGTCTTGAGACAAATGCCGTCTCTGCAGACAATGGCTTTTCTGTGAATCCGGTCCCGCCTTACAGCTGCTGCAGGCCTGTTTTCACAGCCACGGTTCAGGGCACTGACCCAGCACATTGTGGGAGCCAGGGAAGAGAACAAACACTCCCTGGCAAACTTAGAAAAACATAATTCCAGCTCCCTATAGGTAGGGACGAAAGCTCTTTTGTTTAAGGACTGGGGAGTAAAATGCTTTTGTCTTGCTGTTGCGGGGCTAAGATGGATATTTCTGATGCTTTTCTCCCGTCAGTGGAAAAAACGCTTGAGTGTTTTTGGTTCTGAATCTGGATTGCTGCTAAAGCAGAAAGCAAGTGCCTGTTTGTGCTAAAAATGTCAGGCAGCAGCGGGGCTCAGATGGCTCAAGAGGCTCCTGATGTGCTCCTTACTCCCACAAATCTCTGCAGTCGGGTCACTGGAGTATCTGGATCATCACTGGTCCAGTTGTCACCCAGGCTATTTCTGTTACTTCTAGCAAAGCTAGAACCCTAAGGTTTTAATCGTGTCTCCATATCTGAACTAAGACCACTAACTCTCTCCCTGCTTCCCTGTTCTGGTGCAAAATGAAAAAAAAAAAAAAAGGCTCTGTGACCAACTACAGTCATTTAAAGGAAAAAGGTTATGGCCCCTACATAATGCATGCTGGATGTTTTAGAGACCCAAGGTGGGGAAATGGGGCTGTAAGGGAAGGGCAAAGCCTCACCTCTCCCTTAGGCAGGATTTTCTGCTCATCCAGTTTAAAGGCAGTTCCTATTCTTCTCCTTACAATAGGTGGCTCCTCCCCAGGATCTAGAGGGTATTCGCGTGGCAACTTTCCTGTGAGCTCCTGTAAGAAGAAAATGCTGTAAGTGATCTGCAGAATGCCACAGCGGAGTCCTGGCCTGCGCAAAGTACAACGCCACTCTTGAACTGTGACTGTAAAATGATAGTGATCACAGTCTTTCATTAACACCGTAGCTAGTTCAGTCAGCTCATAAAAGGTAGAGGAGAGTATCCAGCCCTCTGAACTCAGGCTGGGATCTGACACATAAGGTGGAGACCTTTTCTAACCTGTGCACCAGTACGGATTTTGCTGATGGGAGGAGAACAAACAAAATTGCTTAGTGGCCTGCCTAGCGTCGGTTTGTAGGTGGTACCCATCCCCAGTGCATCGGGGCCTGAGGCTGAACAGACTGCAGCATTATTTTCATCTATGCTGCAAGGCTAATTAATAGGAAGGGAGAGAGCTTCTACTGCTGTGTTTCTGAAAGGGGGATCAGCAGAGCTGACTGTGTTCATGCAGGATGCAGGCCTGCTGAGTCAGAAAGCCCCAGTGGCACCAGCCATGTGGGTTGTGACCTGCACATGAAAATATTCCCACCTGATTCATGATGTGTCTGAGAGGAATGCAATGAAAATAGTCACGAAAAGTGGTGCCGGGTACTTAAGTACCTGTCTGAAACACTTCATGTATCAGAACCCCTTCCAAACCCAGGGGATGTCACAGGCAGCTTTGGAGTGACACTAGATGATGCTTTGTCAGACTGATGGGGTCATTTGTAAAGTTTTGTTCAAAATCTGAAGCAGACTCCACAGAGCTGAGGAATATATGGAACACAGGAAGCAGTGAGTGCCAATATTGATGTGATTGCTTTTTTGGGTTTTTTTTTTTTTCCCTTCTGGAACACACAATACAGCCACACATATCTGAAGTAACGACATTCAAAAGCCTACAGAAAAAGGCAGGAGCCTCACTACCAGAACAGCCCAACTCCTTGTACTCAGAAGTCTCCCTACAAAGGACAAAAGGCTTTTGTGTTCTTTAGCATCAGCCTTGAGAGGATCCAGCTGGCAGAATAACCTAAATCATCTGAATCCCAAAGAACAGTGGCTGACCCTAACCGGAGCGCAAGGCTCAGGCCCCTCCTGCCTGCCCTGGCCTCTCCTCCCCTCCCTAACGGGGGTTTTCTTTCTACTCCTTTCAGGTCACTAGGAAACAAGGACCTGGCCTTTTCAAATCCTCCCTCTAAGCAGTTCCCAGCAAAACGGGTTTGTAGCACAGCTCTGTGCTGATGTGCACAACCCGCTTTTGTGAGAGGCACTGTTGCAGCATCTCGTAGGTCCCAGCCTGTGTTCCCCCCCTCCAGCCCCAAGGGGTTATTTCAGCTGCTCTTCTGTAATGTGTTTCTCCTAGTGTTAGGTAGCATCTAACTACTGCATCAAGACACAGATTCTTGTATCCTTTCCTGAGGGAAAGGAGTGCATTTTCTTTATAACCCCTAACTTAACAGGAAGCAGGGCAGTAGGGAAAACGCCCAAGATTTGAGCAGAATGAAATGTGGGCTACCATGCTGCCTTCACAAGCTGAAAAGTATTCACAGACACAGTCCTGAAATGTAATCTAAATTAATAAGTAACTGGAGTGGTGATGGCCTGAGGTAACTCGATGCCACTGTTATGAATGGCTCTGGCCATGCCTATTTGATTATGCCTCCACTTTTAACCCTTTTTCATCTCCTAATTCACCTCCTTCTCCCTCTATTTTGGCCATTCCTACGCCAAAGAGAAAGGACTCGGGGTAGTCTGCGAGGAAATGCTCCCAACAGCAGGGTATTGGTAGATGAGCTGAAGGGCTGGTTGCAAGACTCAGTCAGATCCCAAATGTCCACCAGCTGCCTCTCTCAGATCATCTACAGAAAGCAGTTACCACTTTTTACCAGCGCTTAAGGCGCAGACAGATGGGCAGCCTTGCTGCAGCATGTGAAGGAGTTATTGCTCCTTACTGCTGGCCCCAAAGTCCAGCGGGGAGCTTGTGTCCGGGCCCTGGTTGCACAGAGCATGTCTGAGGCTGCACCACAGATGAGGCTCAGGTTAAAGTCTGACAGCCCACTCTCACAGCACTGGGCTGCGAGCTCCCATGACTGAGGCACAGGCACTTCTTCCCTTCTACGCGCACTCCTCCAGGGCCTTAGCCTTCAGGCGGACTTAGCTTAGGGTGGTAAATTCTTCCAGGACAAGCAGAGATCTCTCAGCTTTGTCCATCAGTCTCTGAAGAGTGTGTGACCACTTCCAGCAGATGATCTTAGCTCTGCACTTGATGGACTTCTGGGACTGGATCTGCTCCTGCAATGTTTATCAGTATAAGCTGTTTGCTGAAGTCAACCAGAACTTCTCAGGAGGGAAAGGATCACCTGTGTTGAGTAAGAGGGGAATTGGGGCCACAGAAATTTCTGCTGACTTTCTCTGTTGAGAGATGTTTTCCATAGCTTATTCTTGTTGGCATTAAAGCCACAGACAAATTGAAACAAAGTGCAGTGAAAACTGAATTAGTGTCCAGTGACCCAGTTCCTCTCTTTTTGTTGAGGGCGAGATACATACATATTAAATATTAAGCAATAACTGGAAGATCTCAGTGCCACTGTCCGCAGCCAGCTTCCTGTTTTGTTATACATCATGACTTTTTGTTAAATTCAGTTTTTTCCAGGCCTAGTAAACAAAGGAGGACTCCTGAATGACCCAAGGGTAAGCTGCTGCTAATCTGTGTCTCTATGCACGTTTGCAGTAGGGTTTTGATTTCCAAAAATATTAAATTGATCTTTAAACTGCTCAGCATCTACTCCAAGAATGAAAAGACAGGTGAGTTGGAAGGTTACAAGATGAGTTCCTCAGCTGTCCTGCCTGGTCTCCCCCAGCACTCTCGGATCACCAGCGGTTCGTCTTCACAAGGTCCACACTGCCATTCTTCACCAGGGCTTTCTGGATGAAGGGAGTCTACACGGAGAATTTCCCATGCTGTACTTCGCACAGCAAAGGAGAGACCCCATGTGCTGCATGTAAGCCCCACGATTAGCTCTTCAGCTGTAGGAGATGGCTACATCTTGAGGCAAGACATGGAGCTGGAAGGCAGCAGATAAACTGGGGAGTAGTTGGGAGCAGGAAGAATGTGCTGGGAGAAGAAAAGCACCTAAGGCCAAACCTGCTCTAGGAAGAAAGTGTACCAGCCACTTTTCTGGCCAATGAAGTTTACTTGCATTTGAGGAGTGAGCTACCAGTACACAGGACAGCCTCCCTCTGCCACTTATGTACATGCATATTCCTGCCAAAGTCAATGGCAAGCCTAGCAGGAGCCTGGCTGAATGTAAGTTCAAACAGGAGACACAGATGCTCAACACTCTCCTAGCCCCAAGACATCTGCATATCCAGCTGACATCGGGTCCCCCTCCTCTGGAGGGGAAAATGCCCTATGACATCGCAGCCTGGAGCTGAAATGGCTGGATGTTACGGAGGCCTTTGTACAATGTGCTTTGCAAGAGGCGACTCTGGAAGGACTTGCTTTTCCTGTTTCCGTATCTCTTCCAAACAACAAGCATGCTATAACAGTGCAAGCAACCAAGTGTTACAATTTATAAAATGTTCATCGCCTACCGCTTCTCGCAGACACAGTTTCTTCAGCTCTTCCAAGCGCTGGCGCAGTGTCTCTTCCAAAGCTTCTTGCCTGGATTTCAATGCAGCCAGCATGTCTTTCTTGGCAGACTGAGAACTATCTGACTCCTGGGAACCTATCAATAAACAATGATTTCACTAGGCCAGCTGACAGCGGAACACACATCTGGAGTGCTTGTGAATTTTACCAAAGCCTATGCTTCGGATGCAGTCTTTCCAAAAAGAAATCAGACTATGACACGAAGCAGGTGTTAGCCAGTCATGTTTGTTTACGGCAAATTCTTAATGCTTAAGCTAACAGGCAGAGGTTGTACAGTGCAGCATACAAAGACATCTGTAATCATTTTCCAGAAAAATAAAAGCAACACAATTATTCATGTAAAATCCTAGAAGAAAAGACATACCGTTCCCATGAAAGTTCTCAATAGCAAATGGCAGCACAGTTTACAAAGCACTGGAGATGGATTTTGGGGAAAGTAAGCCTAGGAGAAGCCATCTGAAATGCAGCCTGCTTATTTAAAACCTGCAAAGAACCTAGTAGCAAATATTAATTCAATCCACTTCAGTATCTGCTTTATTAAAAATGAAATGCAACAAAATTACCTAACAAGACTGCTGTAAAATATAGCTGAGTTGAAAAATAAAACCCAAACAACAATAAACCACAGGAGGTCTTCCCAAGAGAGCAGCTGATTCATTAAGAGGTAGGTCAAGATATTTAAACTGGGTGCCCCAATGGCTTGATTTTCCCAGTGGCGATTACCCAGCAACTTCCACTGAAATAAGTCCATGCAATTCTCTTGGCGCAAATCCAGAATTAAGTCACACTCTTGCTCAGCTGTCACATCAGCATACTGATGGGGTTAGCCCTGATTTTATTTTGGTTTGGGACAATGCATCAATCACTGCCCAAGGTCTAGGGTCTCACAGAAGGGGTAACTTGGATGCATCCCATTTTTGGGTGCCCAACTTGAGTTTTTATAGGTGGCCGATTTTTTTAGGATGTGCTTAGCAATCATCCTCTTTAACGATTCTCTGGGCTCAGGCACGAGTTTACAGTGAATTCACTACTTCACCCTGATCCCCCTGAGTGCATCTTTGCATCACAGAGTAAGGCCACCAAGGCTATCACCATACTGTGAGATGAAAAGCAAATTCAAGAAGGGGCAAACACCATCCCCACACACTTTCCACTCGTATTGCTGGCTATTGTTTAACTATACCTGTAGCTCAAACTGCCCATGCTGTGTTTATGGAAAGCTGAGTTCTGGTATCTGTGGTGGATTCAGCAGTGGTATCCCTGCTCCATCCACATAATATGACTGAGAGCTGCAGCCCTATGCACTGTCGAGCTCCACCTTACTCACAGCTCTGGGACTCAGTTTAAGTCTGCATCTGTAACCATTTTAAGTAAACGCCACACGGGGCCTTAAGCTGGGCTAAGCAGCCCAGTAGCAGGGCTGCCATACTCTCACAGGTTAAACGGTTGCTGTTGCTTAGACAGAGGTGTCTAGTGCTATTTGCTGATATCTAAGACATCTCCCATGGGGTAGCAGATCTGACACAGGACCTTAAGAGACCCACAGCCTTTTGGACTGGCAGTGGGATACCCTCACCCACCTAAAATGGCACCGGACACCTATGTTAACACAACCAGACTGTGCCCAGCGTGCCTCCACTGGGACTTCATGAAGGGCATCTGGTTCACTCCAGGTTTGTGCCTGCAGAGAAGCCTTTGCCTCAGCAATGCTTTCAAGAGGGTTTCTCCTGAACTGCCTCAGTGCTTCTCAGCTGTCGGTGTCCCAGGGTGACTGTTGGTGGGGCTCCACTGCCTCTCTAGAGTGACAGCAGAGAGAGAGCAGGCCCTTATTATCCACCAGAGCCAGACTTTACAGGATGTCACAATGCAGGTCTCTGTGCACCTGTGGATTGGAGGGGCTTCTAGATACATTTGCAGCTTGGCCTCCCGAGTGTACAGTGAACTCAGCCTAAGTTGGCTGAAAAGAGCCAGTTCATAAGGCTCTGGAATGAACCTGGGAACAATTCTTTGGTTTGGCAGCAGAACGGAGTGAAATTTGTGCTTTCAGTTTCATCTTTCATTGCTACTATTCCATCAGACCATTAAAGCTAAACTGAAAAAGGATCTAGGCAATCCACACCGGGAAACAGTTCTGCATTGCTCCAGAGGGAGCAGAGAATGTCACAGATCCTTTTCCACCATTATTCTCTGCAGTTTTCATACAGGAAAACGACTGGCACTTATTCTGCAAAACACTACCCTTGCTTGTAACACACTTTATTGGGCTGTCCTGGAGTGGGAGAAGTGGAGAAAGGTTCTCTAAAGGTCAGCCATGTTGAGCATCATCAGAAAATCAGGACAACCACATGGTAACCTGTCTGTTTACTTGCTGTAACCGCCCCCATTTCCTTTGGGTTTGTTTGCCCTCCCAGAGCAACAAAATTCAACTCCGCGAACACATCTGCACTGCAAGAACCTCAGAGGATCCTCCAGAGGAACCTTGTATTTGCACTGGCAGGGGAAAGGCCTCTCTAGCATTTAGCAACTCTTAATAGTAACCCTGGTGAGCAGTTACTAGCAAAAGCTGAACTATTGAACCTCTCTGCTTAATTGCCAAGAAACTGCTGACCCCGGTAATAAGTCGCTCTTGATTCCTGCAGATGTTTCAATCCTTTTTTCCTTTTAGGATAACTTCAGTGACCCCCGTTTTCCTTTCAATTGCTCTTCCCCTTTCCTTCCTCTCTCTGCTCCCTACCTTTCCACCCGTCTTTGATTTATTTTTAAAAGCTATTAGTTTTTGTACTGCTTGTTGCCACAGCAGCTACATAGTTGCTAAACATTTAAAAACACATGAACAGTCTGAGCTGCGCCCAGACGTCTGTGCTGATTTGAGGTGTGCTGACAACAGGGAAATGAATGGCTTGTAACTGAGCTGGTCCAGACCCAAATCAAGCGCAGACGGATTTTGCTCCAGCTGTGCTAAACCTGTGTAAGAACCAACTGGTCTCAATCTTGATGCAGTCAGGGGCAACGTCTACTGAGGGCACATTTTGCCATCTTTGTCACCCCTTCTAGAAGCAAAGGATTTGGGGAGAATCTGGAAGCCCGTTGTTACATTCTGAGTTAAGCAACGGGATAACTGCTAAAACTATGTCCTTTTTGGCATTAACAAACCAGTTCAAATTAACCTATTTCCACAGTGTCTTTGTCTCACAAAATCTTCCAGTGTAGTGAGCGTTTACAGGATTGGGGACAGGGCACTTGCCGTTCAGGGCTTGTGATGCTAACTAAACTTTTTTAGCTTAACCATACCTGACTTTGATGTTCCCTTGGGCATACTGCAAGACCTACTTATTTCCGCAGACATTCCTGAAGAGAAGGATTGGGCTGGGATTTCTGTCCAGCTGTCCCTTCAGAAACTTCTGGCTATTTTGTCTTGCTCTTTTTCTTTTCTTTTTTTTTTTTTTTTTTTACTAAAAAGCTGAACTATTTAGGGGCTAGACTGTTTAGATTTTTGTGTGTTTTATTCTCTGCTTGCTCCCAGAGGTGTAAAGCAAATGTAAATTTGATCAGTCAGCTGAATCACACCAGTGTGAGAAGCTTGTATAGGAGCAGAGAACAATGATTTGTGTTGCTGGTATGCCTGCAGCATCCATTACAAGCTCTTTACTTATAAAAAGGTATTAATCCAGCCTCGAGCAAAGCTGTGGCTGCAGAGCTACTTTTAAACCCAGTGTTAAGTGACCCAAAAATGTCAGAACAAATCCAGAGACCACAAAAACAAGTAAAGAAATAATCAAAGACCTGCTCAAACCAAACCAACCAAGCAGAGGCTACCTTATTAATAATAACCTTTTTAAAAAATATGATGCCCACTGAGTCAGGGCAACCTGTGAAAATTATAAACCAGCCCCCTTCCCATTTGCAGTGCACAGATTTACCAAATTCTGCATTTTAACACACACTTCTGTAGAATCATTTGAGGGCCCTACAAGAGAAAGGGTTGTGAAAACACACTGGGTAGCAAGCACGGGGCCACCTCTGACAGGTACCAGGAACCTGCTGAATTGGGGCCTGTTTTTATAGCTGGTCCTGCTGGTTTAATTTCAAACCAAAGGAAATCCTACATGACATTTCCTCCTGAGCGCACATGATGGGATGCAAGTCTTGGCTTGATGCCCAATTAGTTTGTGATACGCTATACTTCTGATACTCAGTTAGCCTCTCTGCTCCTCGTTCTGTGGGTGACTCCTTCATCCACTGACATTCAGGGGAAGAGGTGCTGTGAAACAGGAGGAGATTGTGGTCCTCCTTGGTCAGTCAACTCCTCTAGCGTAATTCATGGTTGAGCTTCTTCACCAGCGCCAAGGGGATGTCTGATCCCTCCAACACTGGCGACGTTAAGAGAATTTCAGTGATGGTTGATGGGGACGTGAAGCAAACAAGTCACACCCCCAAAGGATCTACACAATGCGATGTGCAGAGTCTGTGCAGGTCTGCAACCTGCATGCAGGAGCTCCTGGTTACCAGGTGTCTGCTCCAAGACAAGCTTTGCTTTAAAGCTTGTCAAAAGGAAGGATATCAGTAACGTGAGCCACAGTTTTGGAGAAGAAAGCCCTAACAGCGATTCACTGTTTGTCCCTATTTCTTCCACCTAATGTAGTAGAGTGGAGTCAGCTTAGAAAAGGGATAAATGAGAATGATGAAAAAAAGCAGGGAAGAGAGATGGGATGCTGAAGAGAAGAAGAGGGAGCTGAGTCTCAGCGCTAGCATCTGCAAGAGGAGATGCAGCAAGGTGGCTGAGCAGTGGCAAGGCAAGAGCATCGAGGCTTAAATAAGAAATCGAACTTCACAGAGGCTCTGCCATCACTCATATCCAGTGGTGCAATCCTGGGAGTCTCTTTGATACCTCTCTTTTCTCTTTCTCACGCGAGTCTCCTGCCCCAGGAAAAATGCATCTAAATAAGGCAAATCCTTCACACTACCGCCTGCTGCCAGCTCCAGCTTGCTGATGTTTCGGTGAGGTCCCCGTGGAAGGCTGTCCCCTGAGCGGGGTGGGGAGGTCCCCCCACGCTTGCTCTGTGCCAGAGCCTGGGCTGAGTCACAGCACCAGGATGTAAGCACACAACAGCCAGCAAACTCAGACAGTTGCTATCTCTCAGCTCTGCCAGACAAATAGGATATCCTCCACGGCGTGCGGCAGCCCAGCTGGAGCTGCTCTGCACAGGATGCGCTCAGATATCCTGTGGGCGACTCGTCTCCGTGAGTCCCCGTGCTCACGGGCCTGGCCAGAGGCTGCATGGGCTGCTGCTTATCCGCTCTGACACTCGCTGCGGCAGCGCAGCTGGGAGACGGCTCTGCCGGATGGAGTGGCGGGGGCCGGGGAATTGGCTGGCTGGGCCCTGTCTGCACGCTCGTGGCATTTTCAAATGTAAACAGGCTTGCGCACAGGAAACCTCCACTGCTGCTGAAGTAACAGGGCTTGGGGGGCGGGAGGCTCCTCCAGGACATCTGCAGAGCTAAAGTAGTGGTGCTCTTCTGTAGTCTCTCCTCCACCTAGTGATGTGAAAGATGGGATATCTACAGGCAGTGGGAGTTTGGGGCTCAGTCTTACAAAAATCTCGTGATGATGGGATTTCTCCATTGCTAGCAGCCCTCCAAAGCTCTTACGGCACAGACTGCTGTGAAGACAAAAACCCAGCTTTGAACTCATTCGATGTCGCTCTAATAACGATCTCTGATGATTGTGATCATGGTTCATGCCAGTCTGAAAGCAGAACCCGACCCCATCTCTTTATTCCTGGGCAAATCTAGCCCCAAATACCCAGGGACAGCACGGAGATCCTGAACAGAAGTTGGTGCTTTGAGCTAAGTCCTGGCAGCCCACTGATTTGGGGGCCCCTTCCAAGCCAAAATGCTGACAAACGGTTAAAAGGGGAGTTGCTAGGAAATGCACTGGAGAGCATCAGGTATCAAACCTACAAGTTTGCAGTGGACAAAGGCAGAGATCGAGGGTCTGGGAAATGAGGAGGAGCTGGGAACTTGAGGTTGTCCCAGCGTAGGCTCTGAACTGCTGTGACCACGGGGGAGTCACCGTCCCAACACAAGACTCCACTTCCCCTCCGCTGTGTCTTGAGACTGTAAATATTGTGGGGAAGCAACTGCCTCTCTCAGTACAGCTGGATCTTGGCCAAGTGCTGTGACAACCATAAGCAGTAACGAAAGCTTCCCTGCAGTCTTGCTGCAAATCCAAGAGACACAAGGCAGCTTCAGCATGCCTCTTACAGTGGTGATGTCTCCTCCATTGAGGAGGAGTGAGATGAAAAGAGGAAATGGCTACAGATAGTTTCCAGGAAAAAAGAACAGAGAACGGTGGGGAAGCAGGGGCAGGAGCAGTAAACAAAGATATTTAATTCTTCCCTTGTGATTTCTGGTCACTTGGGCTATTTATAGCTTGGAAATCTACAGTGGCCACTTAATCATTTGCACTCATTCTCTCCAGCACACAAGCTGGACCGTGATAACCCATCATCGTTGGGATTGTGCCCCGATAATCTTCAATCTACAATGGGAGGAAACACACATGCTGGGACTGAGCCAGCGAACGCGTCCCGCCGAGACAGGCAGCGAATGCCCCTTCCTGTTCAGCAGTGCAGCAGGGGCAGGCTCAGCTCCGCCAGCCGGCTCGAGAGAAGGAGGCTCTTGGAGCACAGCGGTGACTGTGCAGAAGTAATCCAGGGCCTTTGATTCCCTGTTCTCTGTCCTCCTCCGACAGACATCTTTTCTCTACACTTCCCTCCCACCGGAATCGTGCTTATAGCTAGCCACTGGAAGTCATAGAGCAGCAGCAAACCCCACACCTCTCCTCTTTACACCTGGGGAGAGCCTTACCCATGCAGCTGGTAGGACCTACAAGACAGAAATCTGGAAGGAGCCATACTCTCCTGGCCCACTGGCAGCACCAGTAAAACCTCCACCGAAAGAGAGGTTCATGCAGTCCTAGGTAGGCATCCAGGTAGTTTCACCCATCCACCCCAGCAAGACGAAACGACTCACCCAGTCAATGAACTCTGCATAGGACAATTAGGCAGGGGGTGATAATTAGGGCAATTCTGCTGAGCCTGCAAACCCCACTCTCAGCCAGAACAGATGTGAGCAGGAAGCAAAAAGATTCAGAAATCAAAGCCTGGGCAGCTCTCAGTTTGGGATTTCCATCCACACAACTCAGATCAGGTGCTGGCTCTACAGAAGCTTTTTTCTGGGCCTGATTTTCTGCTGACTTCCACCTGGCTAACACTCTTTCCTAGCGTGAGAGTAGAAGCAGACCCCCATGTTTTTTTCCAGAAAGGCTAAAAGGCAGTGTTTTAACATGAAAACAGGATTATTACCAAGTAGCTTTCACAAACTTGGGAATGGTGCCCAGGAGGCTCAGATCTTGGAAAGACCTTAAGAACTTCCTTGGGGTACTTAACATTATTTACTTTCCAGCAAGAGAGTTCGAAAAAATGCCAAACAAACAAAGAGCTCCAACAACCTGACACCAGGCTGGGAGCTGCCCAGCTACGACAATTCCCTGAGCGAAGGGAGGCACAGAGGCAGATTGTGTGCTTCCTCAGGAGGACCTAAGGAACAGAAAGGCAGCTCTGTTCACAGGCAAGGCAAGGAATTGCACAGCAGGCTGCTCCAGAACTCAATAAGCATTTCACATTTTAACCCCTTGCTGGACATTTTCCAGGCAGGAGAGGGTGGCATTTAAGAGACACGAAGAATACAGTGATGCAGAGCTGATATTACTGAGCGAGAGTGGGCTCAGTTTTATAGCATGTGTGCTCTTAGATAGGACTGTTCCCTTGGCAATCAAATGTTACTCTCTGGTGTAACACATCTCAGAATGGATTTTGATAACTTCAAACATCATTTAACATAGGGCATTTAATTAGTATTAATTAAGTACTATTAATTATATTGATACCAGTAACTTTGCCCTCCTGAAAATCTTCTCACCTGAGGAGCTTAAAGTACTTTGCAAACTATTAATCCTTACTTTGTTCCTGGCGTGACACTTAGCACTGTTTTACAGACAGCTTGCCCTGTTCAGACTGGCAGGAGAGTCTGAAAGAAACACAGAAAAGCTCCTCACTCTTGTTCCCTGTTCCTTCCCTTCTGTTTCTCTGTCCCTCTCCTTTAGCAACTTTTCTTGGGTTCATTTTGCAGCTAGGTTTCTTCCTTTTACAGGAAAGCGCTCAAAGCCACAAAAAGAAACCTCTAGGTCCCTGGCACTAGTTTGGTGGAGAGTGCTAGGAAACAGTTCTTTTGGGCATGAGACACCAGGCAAATTCCAGCAGCAGAGAGGCAACGTAGCTTCTGCAAAGAAGTTATCCGGCCTCTGTGCTGCTGACAGACACCACCAAATCCCCAGCTTTGGCTTCCCTAGTGAGCTTTCCCTTCATGAAAGCATCTGCTGAAGAGAGCAAAATGGCATGGGGACACACAGATATTAGTGGGTGCTGAGGGGAGAGACTGTGAAGAGAGGCCAGGCCTCAGCTAGGAAGAGAGAGCTGGAGATGACATCCTGAGGACAAAGAGGAAATGAGCAGAGGCAGCGAGAGAGGGGGCGACCTGCAGCCTATGCTGTTTGTGGGGCCGTACGCTGAGTGATGGGCTGACACCTGGATAGACAGAAAAGCTGAAAGGAAGCGTCTTTCATTTCTGCAGTGAATCTTCTGGCAGCTCCTCCATTATATTACAGACATGGCCCTTCCCACATTTCTCTTCAGTTACAGGATAAAGGACCTACCTGATGACAGGAGACTCCCGCTGCTGCCACTAATAATTTTGCCTTTACTCCCCATGTTGGCCAGCTTTGAAGTCTTGAGCGTTCCAGTTTCAGTCAGGTCAATAGCAATCTCACTCAGGCTTCTTGCAGCATGAATCTTGGACTGGAAGTGGACACAGGAGTTAGTTAGTAATGGTCTAGCACTTCTCTAAAGCTCACAGAAGCAAAAAGACAGTTCACTATGGCAGGAAACTTGGATTATTTTACAAAAACAGAGCAAATCTGGCTCTATTTTTGAGCCACATTTGGCTCAAAAATAGCCAAATTTTTGAGTCAAATATTCCCTGCTGCACTTTTTACATTCTTAAGTGGGCGCAACTCTGGCATTGCTTTCTGCTGTTTGTTTTTTCCTCTGCTTTGCCATGGACTTTTTCCCCTCTTAAACAAATTGACTGCATATAGAACTACTGTATTAACAAATACAGCAGGAAACCTCTAGTAATGCCAATGTCATGAACTGCAAAACTCAAAGACTAAAGACCAGCTCTAGCATCTAAAGGAAGCCAAGACGGGTCTTTCCATGTCTGCAATGAGGTTTGGACCAAGATACAGTGAGGACATGGCCTAAATGGGCTCTCGTGAGAAGGTGGAAGAAAATGGAGGCAGGAAAACATGTTCACGCTATGGTCCAAACTAACAAACAGCATGCAATGCCCTTACTGTGAGGGACCTCTTCCGAATTAAGGACTTCTTAAAGTATTAATATTATTTCAGTAAGAAAACAGCCAGCCCCAGGGACTGGCCACAGGCAGCACAAGAAGCCATCCACTGTACCCTGCCAAAGGTCAAAGACCTAGGCACCTCCTGGGGAAAGTCAATATACATAAACCTATCTCAGGAGGGAATGCGTTGACTTCCTAAGACATTGTCCTTTCTCCATTAGTTATGACCAGTTGGTGTGAGACAACAAGAAGCCTAGAAAGCTAAAGCGAAATGAACTCTGGAACCTTCTCTTTGCTGAGCTATGAGATCAGATGTGGTTATGCCCACAGAGCCAGAAGGCAGAAACAACATTCAGTGCAAGGGGCTTACTAGCACCAGGCAATGAAACGACTATAGCGACTGGCTGTGGGCTTGGGCTCACTCAGTCTCAGTGGCTGCCTTGCCTCTTCAATACAAGTCCCAGTGTTAGCAGCTCTCTTCCTCCAGTGCAGACCCCTGAGAGCATCTAGAAAGTGTTAACACGAACAAAAGGATCAGGCATGTTCATCAAGGTTGCTGGGGATGGCCCTCCAGTTATAACCCAAGCACTGCTATAGGGATAAAGCCTACATATGAACAATGTCTTCTGTGGCCATGAGAAATTTTCTTTCCTCTTTGTAGCCCACACAACCTTAGGATCACCTCAAAATAGCACATGCTGTATCAGAACAACTCCCAAGCCCCTTTAGCCCTGTATCTCATTTCTGACTGGGGTCACATCCAGATGCTTCAGAGGAAAAGATAAGGAAACTTTTCATCAAGCAGTTGTGGAATAATCTGTCCACATGAAAAAATTCTTCCCGTCTCTTCTGAATTAAGGACAGGCTTATGCTCTGAACTCTATTTTATGCTTTGGCTGTTGAATTTGCTTCAATTAACGGGCTAGGTTAACACAGCGGAAAGCTCTAAAAGCCTGAAAGAAGCTTGCTGTCTGTAACATACTTTGAGTGAAGCACAACGATGACTGCTATTTCATTTCTGATCTGGAAGTTGGCTTCTTGTTTGCTGACCCTTATACAAATACTCCAGTCACGGACGGAAAGAGAGCGGAGCTCAGCCCACCACCCAAGAGCCTGCTAGTGCGGTGCTGCTGAAACTCAATTAGTCTAGTCTCAAATGATCACTGACCTGGAATTTCTATTCCCTAGAACCCAGGAAGCTGTTGGCACATTGTGCCAAGGGTCCTGGGCTCTTCAGCGGCCTGAAAGCTTTCATTCAATGGGATGCTGTAAGTCCAGTTCAGGAATACTTGAGCATTCACCCATGCATCTCCTCAAGGTGAGAAGAGACTCCAGTCATATAGGTTTTTGGGTGATGGGCAAACCATTACAGTATTAAGAAATCAGAATCTGATTGCCATCCATGTATCAGGGTGTGATTTGTTCTCAGCGGAACAAAGATGAGACGGAACTACAAAGAAAGCTTGTTCCAACAGGATTTCCACCATATTTCACACCCTCAGGAAGATGAAATAATTTTTAAAAGAACTAAGAATGAATAGAGGGCCTAATGCTCACTACACTGAGCTTCACGCTTGGCTCTGTTACTGATTTGCTGTGGTGCGTTGGGTAAGACACATAAGGTCAAGTTCTTAGCCATCCCCTGCCTCTGTCTGCACATCAGTAAAATAATAAGGGAAGTAAAATGTCTCCCTATTACATACTGTGAAAAAATTCTTCTCGTCTCTTCTGAATTAAGGACAGGCTTATGCTCTATTATTATAATAGGCTTATGCTCTATTATTATCAGTGAAATAATAAGGGAAGTAAAATGTCTCCCTATTACACACTGTATTTCTAAGGCTAACTTAAAACTGTACATGAAGACAGCACTGGGAGATCCTCATACCGAAAACACCCACAGAAGTATTACTATAACTTACACATTCTTGGGTTCGTAGAGGCTACCATTCAGAGGTAACCATCGTTACCATTCAGAGGTACCCTTACGCCTCACAAGCTTATCTCCACAGTGGTCCCATAAACAAGGAGTGTACACTCACCCCTCTTTTACAGGGCAGAGGCTGAGCTACCTGCCAAGATCTCAGAGCGGAGCAGGCAATGAGCACCGATGTTCTGACACTAATGCTACAACCAGTTAGAAACCTTTCATTTCCAGCACCTCCTCCCTAGTCCTAGCCCAGGGAGAAAGATAACAGTCTTTTGGCCTCTTGGATCTGTGGTTTCTGGTCAGAACCAAGATGTAACAAGATTTGTAAAAGATGTTCTCCAAATAGCTCTGGAGGGTTAATTCTAGGTGGAGAGGAAGGTCACTGCTTTTATCTAACAAGATTTCCTGCCACACGAGTTTTGATAAAGAGCCTGAGCAGGAACTGCTATCTTGCTGCCATGCCTGATCTTTTGAGGCAACAAGTCTTAAGTCTGCTGATATCCTGGTGATTTATCCCCTGCAGATGTACCTATGATGTACAACCCTACATATATGTAGGGTTATGTGTATCCTGTACAACCCTAAAAACAGCCACATTGGTCCAAGCCAGCAGCTGTCTAATGCAGTATACTGAATTGCTGCAGTCAATGTCTGGGAAAGGGTATGAAACCCAAGTTTGTACAGAGACATCCTTCCGTCCAGTAAGTTCTCCTGCTCTGTGAGGCAGTGGTTTTCCTGCATGTATTTTTTGGATAGTTTCAATGAGAAACCTTGCAGTTTATTTCCACTTATATTCAGGCTGCAAATTAGAGCACACTCTGGCCCTACCTGTTTGACTAGGCACTAGTTAAAATGCTGAGCACAGGCAACGCAGCTGGATGCTGTGGTCCTCACCAGCATGCCAAGCCAGCAGCTGCTGGAAGGGTGCCCTCCATCGGGCAAGTGAAAAACTGGTGCAAGGCTGAAGCCTGGCATCCCTGCAGCCCAGAGAGAGAAAAAGTAAACTAAGGGAGAGCAGACGCAGGATTGGCAGGGCAGAGCGAGCTTCTTCCACAGAGGGTGCAGTCCAAACCTGCTGAAGCTAGCAGGGAAGGTTTTGAGATAAAATGTAGTTCTGCTAACAGGACCCTGCAAAACCAGTGAGGATGGAACATCTCCTGAAGCAAACTGGTTTAATTTCCCCTGCTGCTCATTCCCTGCCTCCTCTGCTCCCTACAGCAATGCCAATCAGTGTCAGGTGATCTTGTGCTTTGGACAGTCACTGATGAAGAGCAGGAATCTGACTAACAGTTCATTTCACACAGGCCACTGAACAGCAGCAAGCGTGAGGCCTGGCCTAGGTGTTGCACTGACAGCGCAAGAGTGCAAAGCTGGACTACATCCCATTAGTGCTCCCTTGGGCCTTGCAGCCCCTCCAGGCTAAACAATTTTAAACCACTCAGTGCAGACCTGCCAAGTCTCATTTACCTGGAAGGCGATTTGCTCATTTATGAGTCATTTCAAAGCATGGGGCCAAACTGATCCCTGGTGCTGTTCTGACAGGGTCAGAGGGAGAAGAAAAATCCATCAGTGAGAAGTGAGAGTGGATGGACACCAGGAATCAATTTGCCCCTCTTGCTTGCAGTGTCAAGGTTTTGCTGCAGGTGTTT